TGTTATTGGGTAATATCTTAGTTATGTATTTGCCTTGAGATTAGAGGGACCCTATATATGATGAAATTTGTTTTCACTAACAGCTCATTATGGAGTCCAATGTCCGGATGGTGAACCGAAGGCTGGGATGTCTAAGGAGATGGCATTTTTGGTTTCTAGTTAACCAATTTGGTGAAACAGAACTTTACATTTGTTGCTGGCTTGGTATAATGTAATGATAGAATAACCAGCAGTCTGGGGTGACTCTGCCCAATTTCTAAGCGGTTTGTCCTGAATTTCACATCCTCAGCTGTGTACCACTGGAAAAGGGGGCAGGGCCTTGGAGGAATAAGCGGGGCAGGGCACAGGGCATCAGAGGTCCAGTTAAAAGCAATTAGAAAGGTGGGAACCCTATGAGTTAATGAGCTGTACACAGACCAATTCCCCAGTCTGTCACATTGAAACTGCACAGGAAGGCCAGGAAAGGATTCAATGTCACTTTGACTGTCCAATAATTGATTCAGGGAAGAGGGCCCAGCACCATCTCACCAAACAGCTCTGCATGGAGGTCAGTCTGAGAGCCACAGCACGAGGAGAAAAATTTAGATGTCTTTACAAGTAAAGAGCCGGAGCAGCCTGTCCCGGATCTCTTTGGTCCTCACACCGTAGATGATGGGGTTTAGCGTGGGGGGCACCAGGAGGTTCATGTTGCCAATGAGAACACGGAAATGCAGGGCCACATTGTGGCCAAAACGGTACGTGAGAGAGGAGAAGAGATTTGGGATGAGAAAGGCTAAGATGGAACAGAGATGTGAGCTGCAGGTCCCAAAAGTCTTGAGCCGGGCACCCTTTGTGGGGAGGCGGAAGATGGCCCTGAGGATCTGGGTATAGGACAATGCAACAAAAAACATATCCAGACCATTCACAAAGAATAGCACAAAGAGGCCGTAGTAACTACTTATGCGGGTATCAGCGCAGGCCAGTTTCACCACAGCTATATGTGCACAGTATGTATCGGGGATGATGTTAGTTTTGCAATATGGCCACTGCCTCGTCAGGATGAGATAGGGCAGTATGAGCATACCACCACGCAGCACCACAGCCAGGCCGATCTTGGCCACCATGGGGTTTGCCAGGAGGGTGGAATGTCTGAGGGGATCACAGATGGCCACATAGCGGTCAAAACCCATGGCCACGAGGATCCCAGACTCCATCACTGAGAACGAATGAATGAAGTACATCTGGGTGAGGCAGGCACTGAAATCAATCTCCCTCAAATTGAACCAGAAGATGCTCAGCATTTTGGGCAGGGTGGATGTAGACAGCACCAGGTCGGTGACAGCCAGCATGCAGATGAAATAGTACATGGGGGCACAG